TCCTTCCTTCCTTCCTTCCTTCCTTCCTTCCTTCCTTCCTTCCTTCCTTCCTTCCTTCCTTCCTTCCTTCCTTCCCGTCCTCGCAGTGCTGTTTATACCCTCTCTAGGAAGCCGGGCATCCGACTGTTTAACTAGTGCCGAGATCCTGACTGGGTCTGCAGATCTTAAGATCTGACACTGCAGCCAGGTGGCGGTGGTGCACGCCTTTAGTCCCAGTACTCAGGAGGTAGAGGCAGGCAGATCTCTGTGAGTTCGAGGCCAACATGGTCTACAGAGCGAGTTATGGGAAGGCTCCAAAGCTACAGAGAAACCCTGTCTCAAAATCAAAACAACAACAAAACAGATTGTGATCTGGCATTCTGTGGCCTCCCACTCCATGAAGGCATCATTGGGTGTCCTATAGGTCATAACCCTCCTGTGCTCAGTTTGCCAACTCCCCACTCGATCCTTGCTCCTCTGTGGGCATCTAGCATTGTTCTTCATTCACCTTCCTGCTGGCCCAATAGTCACTTCCTTCCAGATCTCAGCATGATTCGTCTTCCTGTTTCCCACTCTGTTTCTCTTCCCAGCTCCCACTTTCTGCCTACACCCTTCTCAGCTACACATGACATGACATACACAGCAGGGATGGGTGCTTCCTGTAGAAGGGCCTTTCTTGACTGTCTTCAGCCTCTGAGAACTAACCTCAGGCCTGCTGCTACCCTATAGACAAATGTGCGGTACAACATTCCTGTGTCCTCTGCCTCACTCTCAGCAATCAAGAGCTTGGGCCTCAGGGGCATTTCATGCATCAGCTTGACCAACCTGGATGGCTCACCAGCTTCGCACCAGGTACTGCAGTCTGTTGCTTACCACTTAGGCCCACACCTGGAGAGTTTATGCCTGGGAGGGGGCAGCCCCACAGAGGCATCCTTCTTGGCCTTGATCCTGGGATGTCCAGCCCTGCGCACCCTTGACCTCAGTGGCTGCAACAGTCTCTTCACATCAGGCACTCTGCTGGCTCAGCCTGAGACAGCACGGTGTGTTCGGAAGGCATTGAGTGGCCTTCGTGATCTTAACCTGGCTAGCCTACGTAACCTGACTGACCTTAGCTTCAACCATCTCAGCGGTTGTTTCCCCAGCCTGGAGCGCCTCTCCTTGGCCTACTGCCATCTTACCTTTGAGTTAGGCCCAACCTGGGGCTCCATTAGCCCCCAGGCGTCCTCTCCCTCCCAGCTTTCCTTCCACAACCTGCTCCAGTTTGTCAAAGAGCGAGCTGGTAGGCTGCGTGCCCTAGACCTCAGTGGTACTGGCTTGCCACCTGAGGCCCTACAAGCCCTGGGCCAAGTGACTGGACTGCAGCTGGAGGAACTGAGCTTGCATAGCTGTAGAGACCTCTCCTCAGAGGCCGTGGCCACCCTATGCCGCCAGCAGCCTGGCCTTACCTCCCTGGATCTCAGTGGTTGCTCAGAACTGACTGACGGGGCACTCTTGGCTGTGAGTCGAGGCCTGCGACACCTGCGGCACTTGAGTCTGAGGAAACTGCAGCGACTGACTGATGCAGGTTGTACAGCCCTGGGAGCCCTGCACAAACTGCAGAGCCTGGACATGGCTGAGTGCTGTCTGGTGAGCGGGCGGGAATTGGCAAAGGTCTTAGGCTCAGTTCACAGAGCTCCACCGGCACTGACTTCCCTCAGGCTGGCTTACTGCTCTTCACTGAAGGTGAGTTACTTTCCCTCCCTTCCTGTCCAGGGGACCTGGGGGAGCTGGGCCTGTGGCCTCAGGGACAGTCTAACCAGGGTTTGTGTCCCAGGATAGTCATTAGAAATACATTTAGGATGTGGTCTGGAAGAGAACAACTTAGATAATATGGCAGAACAAGACTTTACTGCCCTCTCTGGCCTGTTTCATGAGTGATCCCACACTGTATGTGAGTTCTAGAGGGAGGAAGTCGAGAGAAAAGGAGTGATAGAAAACCGTGACAGAGGTGGTAACACACGCCTTTACTCCCAGCACTCGGGAGGCAAAGGCAGGCGGGTCTCTGTGAGTTAGAGGCCAGCCTGGTCTATAAAGCGAATTCCAGGATAGTCAGGGATACACAGAGAAACCCTATCTGGAAAAAAGGCCAAAAAAAATGTTTTATATTGCACTGAAGAAGATATTCAGTAGGCGGGGCCTTGGGATGGATCACTTGGGAGCTGTAAGGTTAACTGTTAGCTGAAGTCAGGTCCTTCACAGAACTCAGCATTGTCCATATGGGTGGCATTCCTGTCTGAAAAATGTCAGCTGGGGGGTTGTTATCCCTTTAACCTTTTACTATGACAAGAGCATTCCAGACCTAAAACCTGTCTCACCCTCATTTCATGGCAAGCACTCTGCCTAACAGTTCCTTGGCCATTAGTGTCCCTTAGCTGTTCTACCAGGCCTCGTGTTCTCATGCCCACCCAGCTCTCTCTGAATCTACACAGATTTTCTGCTCTGCTTTTAGCTCCTGCTGCCCCCAGCTTCTCGTGGTGGTGGCAGCCCTAATGCTTCAGGTCCTAAATCTATCAGAAGCACCTCTGATTGGTTCAGTTGTCCTGGTCCGGTGGGCTGTGGTCAGTGTTGCCTCAGCCCATGCTTCCGACATCACAGGCACAGCAGCTGCCTTAGAGAAACCTGTCTACACCCTTCCGTGTGCACACATAGTCGTGAGCTGCCTTAGAGAAACCTGTCTACACCCTTCCGTGTGCCACACGTAGGTGTGGCCTTGTGTCTTTCTACACCCTTCCGTGTGCCACACGTAGTCGTGAGCTGCCTTAGAGAACCCTGTCTACACCCTTCCGTGTGC